ACTGGGAGGGTAGTCTCACCTTTCCTCAAATCCCATAATCGTACCTGTCGCCCCTAGTGATGGGCATTGCTAGCAAGTCACCCTACTACCTGACAGTTGCTGATTTTGCTGCCAAGCCCCACCTAGTTAGAGGGCTGTCGCCTCTGGTGGCGTCCTCAGAGCCTTCTTGCCACGGGAATTGCGTTGCGTTGACCTCCGTGGGCCTCGCAACGAATGTAGTTAGCAGCAAAGAGCTTCTTACGGGTGAGCGGGACAATCTTGATTTGTAAATATGCGCGTTTCCTTGACACTGAGTTGTCGGACTCTCCGGGAGAGTCGGGCGGTGCGTCTGCCATTAACGTCGCCAAGTAGCTCGTAATGCTATTGCGGGCTCCGTGAGCCATAGGCCAAGCATCCGCAGGCGTCCAGAAGCAGTTTTCATTGGGGATGTCGCAAACCACCCTAGGTTCGATTTCGAAAGGTTTCAATATTTGCAAAGCGAACTGAGGTTCGATTTCGAAAAATTTCGATATTTTCGTACCGACCGAGGGTCGATTTCGAAAAATTCTCAACTTTTCACTACAGCGGAGTTTCGAACTTGAAAATTTCGAAGCTTTCACGGTTTCTAAAATTTCGAATTCGAATATTTTTTTTACGTCAGGTTCGAGAAATTCGAAGATTTCGAAATTCTTTCTGCATAAAGTTCGAAAAGTTCGAAGGTTTCGATTCTCCTTTAACGCTAAATTAAAAAAAAAAAAAATCTGAAGATTTTGAATTCCCTTTTAGTCCAAGCTTTCAAAGTTCAAAGTCCGATTTTCAAGTTTTTCCACAGTTTCAGTTTCAAATAATGTTTTCACGACTCACTGGTTTTCACAAAATCAAGTTTAGAAAAGTTCGGGTGTGATATTTAGACTGCGCGAACTTGGTCAGGCAATTAAATGAGACGACGAGTGTCCCGGAAGTGCTAGAATATTTGCCAGTGCAGAATTGTGACCGCCAGCCCCGGGGGGGGGGGGGGGGGGTTCTTTAATCTGCATCACGCAGTAGTGATCACACGAACACACTGTTTTACGAGACTCATCCAGTTCGAAACGGCCAGGGGCGAGCAGGAGGTTGAGGCTCAGAAAAACCTTGAAGCGACCTGGCAAACTAGCTCGCCACCCCTTGCACGCTGGTAGTAATCCGATCCGGTGAAGTTTATAATTGTCCTGGAGGTTTATTTTCTGGGACGGAGCAATCGCCTCGCAAAAAGCCGACACAACTCGAGGTTGAGGAGCGTTCTACCATACAAGTGGCGTCGGAAGAGGAAAAACGAGGGAAAGAGGGTAGCGGGGGGGGGGGGCTTCAGCTTCCTTCTTCCCCTTGCAGGTATTTCAGACTGTTAAAGAAAACAATACGAGGAAAGAGGGCGTGGTCGAGCTTATTTTAATCTGAAATTATTTATGTATATGTATAGCTACTGTCGCTCTTCACTGTATAAAAGATTGCGTAGATGGTCATTGTTAGAAACTCGTTGTCAGAAGGCACTGCTCGTCACATGCTTAGTGGTTCGGAAGTTCAAAGCTGTCTCTTCGACCTAAACACCTGTGCCGATAGTAACAAAAAAAAAAAAAGCGTAAATGCGGGAATAAAAAGCGGGAGAAAAAAAAAACTATCAAGAATTCGTCGGAAGTGTTCTATTCTTGCGTATTCAGAGGTTCAGAACTTCGAAACAAGTTTCTTTTACCAAAATGTGTACAGGCTAAAAGAAACACGTCCCAAAAACGCAAAGCGAAAAAAAATTTTTTTTTTTTTTAATGACGTGCTTAACTTGAACACTATTAGAAATCTTTTCCCATGAGTTAATTTATTCCTCAACGTGAAAAAACAATAAATATATAATTTTGTATTCTGCAGATGGCAATGATATGTACTGTCTGCGGTGTTAATTTAAATGCGATACCTCAAACAACTTAGACGAAAATAAATATCAAGTTTAGGTCATAATTGCATGCAGATATATGTTTGGACATTTCTTCGAAACTCACATTGAATAACAATAATTACATCTTAAGACGGCACTTACCTAGGCTATACATAGATCATTCTTAAAAAAGAATAACATATCTACCATAAACAGCTCCGGCTGCAGCGTGCTTCAAATCTGGCACAAACGATAATCGTCAAAAACCCATCGTCCTTCCTCGCCCCTTCGGGGATTTATTTCTTTAAACCTAAGCATGCCAGAACATTGAAATAAACGACATTGTCTTTCGTAAGATACGCAGCACCGCGTGTAAAAGTTCGAGAAAAAAATATTACGAATGTACCCCACTACTTGAAATCAAATGAAACCGTCCGCCGGTCTTTCGAAGTTCGACGAACGTCGAACCTTTACCCTAAAAGTTCGAGGTTCGTCGAACTTCTGACTTCTCAGAAATCGAAAGTTCTAAACTTTTCGAATTCTCTTGATAAATAAGTTCGGAAGTTCGAAATTCATCGAATTTTTTGGTCAGTCAAGTTCGTAAGTTCGACAAGCATCGAACCTTGCAGCGCAATAAGTTCGAAAGTTCGAAAAAGATCGAATTTTTTAGCGTAATAAGTTTGACGGTTCGAAAGCGTCGACCTTCTTAGCTTAACAAGTTCGAAAATTCGACCTCCGTCGAATTTAACGATATAGACAATTCGAAAAATCGAAATCTTTCGAACCTTTCCAAACGCTTGATTCGATCATCGAAACTTCGATTCGAAAAAAGTTTGCGGCATCCCTAGTTTTCATATTTCGGGCGCGCACACTATACGCCACTTACATTGTGGTTGTCACAAGGTTTTCTTTTCGGGATAGATATGTTTTGCTGACACCTCCGAGCTTCTGCTGATTTCCGAAAGTGACGCTTTTGCGTTATAAGAATGGCACCACGCACTAGAGATGGGGCGGCTTTTTAGCTACCTTGTCCCGTGCACTTAGCTAGGGATGCGCGCAGCTCAAAGACTCTACGGAGTTAGTTGTTTTCGCAGTCCCCGGCCTGGCTCCTGGTGCAGCCACCGCTAGCAGTGGAGAGTCGTGGGCTCAGTTCCCGGCGACTTCAGTTTGCGTACGCAGGGTGCCATCCAATTCTGTTAATAGCACCGTGTGGCCTGCCTTCCAACTTGAGCCTCCCACCCAGCAGTAGGCCCGTTAATGCACGCAGGCAGCCGAGTCCAAATATAATGAGGACCCGGCCAAAACCTGTTCTCCGGGATCATTGCTTCCCCTCGGTGGCAGTGTGTCGACCAAGAACAATCATTTCTCACATTGACCTCGTCGTACTGCGGGTCTGGAAAGGGCGAAGAGATGTTTGCGGGGTGCTGCGTGGGCTCTTCTTTCCGTCGTCCAGGAAGATGTTCGTCCCCCTGTTCCCTGCCATCCCCCACTACGTGCGACGGCGGGGGACATGCCGAGCAGCTGGGCGGGACCTGCCGGATGTGCGTCATTGCTGAAGCTGCCGGGAGTTTGCACACCCGACGACAACCAGGAGCAGCAGACGGGGGAGGCCGACTTCCGGTGAAGTCCAAGATGGCCGTTGCCGTCCTTCTGTCGTCGGGCCTCACTGAGGCCCACAGCTGAACCAGGGTTCCCAATGCGTGCTTGGTCACAGACGTCACCTGATGCCGGCCCCGAGGTGCGCTTTCGACTTCGATGGCCGGTGTTTGACTCACCATCGGTCTCCTGTCCGCCCGGAGTGACCACGGGCGGACATCTACAAGCGTCTCCGTGTCCGTTTCGACGGAGGTCGGCCCACAACGAGTCGATGATAAGCAGTGTGAGCCAAGCAACACCGTCGAACATCCACGTCTGTATGTGAGTGGCGCTTGGTATTTTGTATGCACTACCTGTCGACCCCTTTGATTGTCCGACATCGAGGAACTTTTCTCAACTTCGTTCACGGCACCCGGAGTGCATCGCCCCACCAGTGCGTTGTGAACTCCGGTACGTTGAACATTTACGGCAGCGGTTCCCGGGCTTACCGAGGCCCCCGAGTCAAAATCCTGTATTTGTAAGCGCAACTGGCACCCGTGTTATCAGTGTGCAGGTATTGTATTTTAGGGGTTTGAGATTTGGCACCCCTTTCCCTGAAAAAGGTGCCAAATGTTTTAAGGAGGGGGGATTGTGGGAGCCACTGGTTTCCCTCCACCGAGAAGGCGTAAGCCGCGCATGTTCTGGGCGAAGTCGTTTGGCTTCGAGCCTGGTTACTTCGTATCATGTTGGGGAGAGTATACCAACATGCTAACCTACTCTCTCGCACTTCTCCGCACGTCGCCCATTTTCGGGGGACCATCGAGATTGTGCGGGAGAGTCAAGCCTGCCCTCCTCCGAGTGGACGGCCGCCTGGTCGAGAAGTCCTGGATTGGACTCTGGGCGGCAGGTCGAGTCGCGGTGTAAGCTCGTCCGACTGGCGATGACTCAACGCTAGCGGTTCCCCTGGCTCTGACAGTCGGCGCCCCCCCTCCCAGTGGAGGCCCGTCTGCCAAGAGCCCTGGCCCGAACTCCTACGACGACGGATAGCGGCATGAGCTCTGCCCACCGGCGAAGACTCCGCTCGCAATGACCCCTTTGGCTCTCAGGTCGGCGGGCGCTGCGGGCACTCTGTGTCCAAGACTCGCTTGACTGCAGTGTCGTTGGGGACCCCTGGTACTCAATGAACACTGTTGGATATTGGGATCATCGTTGTTGGCATGGCGTTGGACGACCCGGCGCGGCGACCGCCCTTGCTGGTAGCCGTCGGCTGTGCGGTGGGACGGGCATCGGGTTTCCCTTTTGAGCACCGGTCCCCAGACATAAAGGTACGTAATTCCGTTTTTTTTACAACCTTCGGCCCGAAAAAGCATTATGATATCGGAGAAACCTCTTCGCATCTACATGATCCTCGACAGTGCGTGGCTAATGCAAGACCTGCTGCACCGAAGATGCGGAAGTATGTGAACTTCAAGAAAAGACATTATGTGCTCCTGTACAAGGTCTGCACAGACGCGACCCTCAGCCCTAAAGGCATCTCGCATACCTCCTGCTTCTCTATCTTGCTCTGGTCCTCGATGCGTGTGATGATCTCGGTCATGTTGGTCTCCAGCACCATGCCTCCCATGACAAGCTCGTTGAGGATGTAGTGAACCTGCATGCAAGCCAATTGGGGTTACAAGGTGCCTTCTCTCGTACACAGGCACCATAGCCAGTCGCTGCATGCGAGAGCAAAGCCTCTGCAAAAGAGTGGAAGATATCTATCAGCAAGTTTAAATTGTCAGCTTACTTTGAACGTTGTTGCTATGTGTGCTTCAGAAAGACAGGATACTCCTCTACATTAGGCACTCATTACGAAGGAATAAAGAGCAGATTGTGACCTTTTGTAGCAGGCTCTGTGGCAGGCAAAACATGCAGAGTGCAAGTTTGTCTACTTCTTGCACAGGGGTTGCAATGATGTCAGAACGCCGAGCGCTTATTGGCCGATTGAAAAGAAATAGTGGGTAGACCTCAAGGCATCTAGCATTAAGGTCTACCCACTACCCTTTCAACCAAAGACAATCAGAGCTCAACGTCGTTTTAACATCACCGCAACTCCTGGGCTAGAAGCAGACGACTTTGTTTCCGCATTGGTTTGGAGCAGTCACTGATCCTTCTGGAGCAGATGCCAAGATCTGTTAGCCCATCACTTGAAAATGAAAAAGTGATTGCATCGCTGAATGAGTTCATCTTTAATAATGATTGAGAGTTAGTGTTCGATACTGGGTCTCCGCCAACCACGCTCTACTGTATTTGCAGCTCTTGGATGCTCTATTTGGTAAGCTGCCGTTTGTCGCGACCTTCGGTATTAGCAGAGATGCCAGGAAATTTCAACTCAAGCTTACTTTAACATATTTTTCTATATCAAATTATAGATATTTCAAACTATTTTACGATCCCCTTTGAATTCCATACATCTGGGATCGACTGTACCAATGGAGGTGAACTCTGGTTTCGTGTGCTAGGAATCTCTAAGAATGCGCTTCGACCGTGCACGCAAGGAGTGCAAACTTACACTCCGCAACCTGTGCATATCATGGGAGAGGTGAAAGTGCAGGTCAAGTATGCCAGGAGAGAAGCTCAGCTTCCCCTGCTCGTCACAAATGGGGCCGGAATCAGCATTTGGGGGACAAGACTGGTTCCAACCGTTAGGCTTCATCAGCTTCATGGAGCGTCCATTTCCTTAAACTGCAGCGGGAAGAGCCGTCCAGCTGTAGGTCAGCAGCACACATTAGGGACGAAGGTGGCAACTGTCCACGAGGACTTCTCAAGAGTGTTCAAGCCAGAGCTGGGAAAGAGTGTTGGTCCCCCGGTGTTATTTGAAGTGGAGGACCAAGTCCTACCCAAATTTCACAAGGTACGTCGAGTACCGTTCGCGCTCCTACCGAAAGTGGACGAAACTATTGAGAAGTTGGTAGAACAAGGTATCTGGGTTCCGGTCAAACGCTCTTGTTGGGTGACACCTATCATCCCGATACTAAAGAAAAATGGAAAGATGAGAATTTGCAGTAACTACAAGGGAATACTCAACCAAGTGCTCAAGTGGGAGACTTACACGCTACCAACCCTAGAACAGCTGCAAGCAAGACTGGGAGGTTGTTCAGTGTTTTCCCAGCTTGATCTAGATCAAACTTATCAGCAACCGTCAACGAGGACACTGCCCTGTTGTTGACTGTAACGATGCACAAGGGGCTTCTCAAGGTGACCCGATTACAGTTTGGTATGGCCGTGGCCATTTTCAAGCGTTATGTGAAAGAGCTTTTGAACGGCCTCGAAGGAGTCTTTTGGATGACATTCTCATCGGTGGACAAACGGTAGCTGAACACGACGATCGGCTGCAAAGCGTGCTGCAGCACATCCAGGATGATGGCCTGTTATCTAAGTGCTGACAAGTGCGCTTTCCGAGTCAAGGAAGTGTCGTACCTGGAGTACCGTATCAACAAGGACGGTGTCAATCTTTTGGTTGAAGAGGTGGAGGCCATTAAGAAAGCTCCGGAACCAATGAACAAATAAGAGCTGCAGTCGTTCTTTGGAGCTCTGAACTTTTATGGTAGTTTTATGATAAGGACAAGGTGTAGGCCTGGACAAAGACAGGAGCGGAGGCGTACAAGCGTGCCAAGGGTTTACTAGAAACCTCAACTGTTCCAGCATACTACAATGTGTCGTGTCCCATAGTGCTGACCTGCAACGCCTTTCCGTGCGGGCCAGGAGCCGTACCGAACTAAGTGAAAGAAGACAGCATTGAAAGGCTTGTGGCCTTTGCATCGAGAACTTTGTCGCAGACAGAGCGCAACTACGCACAAATTAACCGAGAGGCTTTGGCCTTGCTCTTTGGCATCAAAAATTCCACAGTATAGTTTTTGGTAGAAAGTTCCAGCTCTTGACGGACCACAAGCTACTTCTAGATTGTTTGCATCAGGCAAGCTTGTACCTGCTGTGATGTCCCCTCAAATGCTGCGCTAAAGTCTGCAACTGTCGGCGTATAGCTATGAGCTGTTGTATGTGCCAGGCTGGAAGCTTTCGCATGCTTATAGCCTCAGCCGTCTCCTACTTCCTATCAAGGACAAGCACAAACCACCATTGGGAGATATTCTTCTGATCAAAGCGTCGCCCAAGGTTCCATTGAATTCAGCCAAGATAATAGCTTTGACCGCGTATTGACCCCCTCCTATGTCGCGTCCACTGCTGGAATTTGCAAGGATGGCCGTCGGGGAAACTGCAGGAAAACTTTTGTTCCTTTGTAGCCAGAGAGAACGAACGGTTGTGTACTGTGGGCTTCTCTGGTGGTAATCCCAGAGCACGCGCAGTCTCAAGTCCTCGACATCCTGCACACCACTCACCCTGGAGTAGCATGGATAAAGGGGCTGGTACGCAGCACAATATTGTAGCCTGGCATTGACCGCCACATGGAACGCAAGGTGGATGAGTGACTATAGACTATATAGACCAAGAGACTATAGGCATGCCTCCAGCAAGGCGCCAGTGCATCCATGGGAGTTCGCCAAGAACCCGTGGTCTCGTTTGCCTATGAATCTGCGATTGACTTTGCGGGTCCTTTGTGAGGAAAGTTTTTTTGTTAGTCGCCGATCTGCATTCCAAGTGGCTGGAATTTTCAATCAGAGAATCAATGTCGACTACAGCAATGCTTGCAGAGCTGCGGGCCATGTTTGCCCGCTATGACATTCCAGAAGTGTTTGCGTCAAACAATGAAGCTGCATTCACGTCTGCAGAAATTGCAGAATTCCCAACGAAGAACCAGACCCGACACATCATCGTAGCACGTTACCACCCGTCCTCAGACAGCCAAGTTGCGCAGATGGTGCAAGAGACAAAGCAAGCGCTACGGAAGCTGTCCAATAGAGACTGGGCAACGATTAGGCAGAAAGATTAATGAGTAGACCTAAAGCTAGCCTTTGTCTCCACTAAACATGCCGAACACATTAAAATGCGGAACGCTAGCGTCCGGCATTTGGCTTTTGCAATCGAATGTGTTCGACGGGTTCGGTAAAGACAAAGGCTAGCTTTAGGTCTACCCATTAATGTTTGCAACCAGAGCTCAGTGTTCCGACAGTCCCGCAGGCTTTCGTCTCCTCCTGTCCCTAAATTTCTCGGCGGATTAGCTTTCATAGTACAGCAAAGAGCTTAATTCTACCAAACACAGCTAGGCACTTACCGTAGAATAGTGTGCATCCACCCATCCCACAATAAGCGCCCACTCCCGAATTTGTAAGATCTGAGAAAATATGCACAGTACATTGACATGTAAAACTGATGACCGGACAAGCGCCCAACCCCCATTTTTTCGCAATTATCTGCAAATTTTGAGCGGGCGCTTGCCCGGTATTTTACATAGTTATGGTTAAAAGCATAAGACATGCAAAATGAATGTTGTTATCAGGGCCACACTTTGTTTAAGAAGTCCTATGCAGCAGTTGCTTTTGAAACATAAAAGCTGATTAATGAAGGACAAAGCACGCACATGCAGTGGCTAGCAACGGGAGGGGGCCGGGGGCCATGGGCGGGTACCAGGCGTCCCAGTCGCCAAAAGGGGTGCTACTTCTGACAGCAGCAACCCCCATCCCTGCCCTCTTTACTGGTTGGCTGCGATCTCTGGGAGTGAATTGGAGGGTTGGAGGGGGGAGGGAGTGCTACAACGGACATAAGGGCCCCAAGTGCCGGATGGCCTAGCTACGCTACTGTGCACATGTGAGTGGTAACTTAAGGTATGGAATTGAAGGTGAACCAAATAATAGTATTCTATGGGAATAATCTTAGAATAGACACATTTCTCACAGGACACCACCAATTAAAGGTTCTCTTGCTGACTGTGGGGCCTGCAGGTAATATGTCACACTTTACATTGATGAAAGGTTCATACCTTGTCCATGTGAAAGATCAGATCCAGCTCACACACATTTTCAAAGCACTTGTCCAAAGTTTCCACAAACACCTAAAAAAAGTAACAAACACAGGAAGATTAGAAAACAGCATATTTTTCATCACTGATGAAATGCACTAGAAGAGCTTTTCAACTCTATGTTACGTGACATGCACTTGCATCATGAAATCAAACCATAGCTATGTTGTGCAATGATGGCAGGTTCTGATCTTGACGATGTACATATCCACTGGCTTTAGGTCTCCAGTGGTTGACAATAGCAATGTCACCTTGACATGAATCACCACTTCACAGCTTCAAATTTGGAAGTTGCCTGCTTTGTTTTTTTAGTGTTATATGTTACAAAAAAAATAGCCTTTGAGCAAAAAATGCCTCACACTTTAATTGCCAATTTGGCCATATCCTTTCTGATCCTCACTCCTCTATATCATGTTTTAGCCACTTGGTTCTGCTTGTTTCTAGGCAACTGACTTCAATTGCTGTAAGCCAGCTCCCCAACTTCTGTTCTATGCTTGATTTGTCTACAAGTGTTGTGTCAAAAGTCAAATTTGGGGGTTTTATGTGCCAAACCAATGGGGCATCGGCACGCCCCAGCAGAGGACTGAGGATTAATTTTGACCACCTGAGGATCTTTTAATAGGCTCGGTTACACGGCGCGTCCTCAGCAATAAGCTTCCATCATATTGCGGACACCTAGGCCTGGATTCTAACCCGCCACCTCGGGATATGCAGGCTGGCGTTTTGCCTCAGACAAGTCTTGTGCCTTAAGACTACAAGGCATTAGCACAGTTGACACGCGACATCAAACACAGAAAAGGGGTTAGAGAAGTGGCATACAACAATCAAAACATGTTCCCAAGAGGAGCCAAGCAGATAAAACATGAAACACAAAAAACCTAGAGGTGTAAATAGTCAGAAAAATTTTTCACTGAAAGGCTAGAAAAGGCTATTTTTCTTTTGCGACATGTTCTAATAAACAAGGCAGGTAACTTTAAATCTGAAGCTGTAGGGTCATGATCTGCATAAAATGAATGCAGAGTTGTTGACTAGCCATTTGGGCAAAACACAAGAATGGTGGCTGTGGCACCTTGTCCACTTTGTGAACCAAGTATGGTAAGGCATGCACGCAAAAAGGCATGTAAGCCACTACGACAATTGCCCCATGGCACTGCTGGTACGGAGCAGCTGACAGTCACACGTTCACCTTCATTTAGATCACGACTAGATGGTCATATGGCTATGTAAAATAATGCATGACATGATGCGTAATGTTCGAGTAATGCTTGTCATATGTTATCAAAAGCAGAACTATCCGTTCTGCTTATGATAGCCAAAGGACAGTAGTTTATGTAATTTCGAATATATCATAGAAGCAGTGCCTGAACAAGAGCGGTAAAGGAATTCCAAGGAGTCGCACATCATCGCTAAACAAAGAAAACCGAAATTCCTTCACAACTATTTAATCTCACTTTACTAAACATGACCGGGGGGGGGGGGGGGGGGGGGGGGTTAAATCTATAATAAAGAGTATGTATGGCTGTTCACTTTTGTTTTAAGCTAAGGACGTTCATGCAATTTGGTTCTCCTATACTTTGCCACACAAGGCAGCACGAAAGAAACTTCACCACATTTTTGTATGCAATGATTAGCAAGGATAGATTAAACCGATTGGAACAAAATTGTTCCATGGTCATTGAAGAGATGATGTTGCCGAACCTGAATTAGGTCCAGAATCCCCAGCTCACTCTCCGAGGAGTCCACGCAGAACACAAAGTACAAGGTGGCATAATGACGGTAGATAATCTTGTAGTCAGAGCCACCAATCAGTCTGTCAATGAAATAAGACAATGACATGCATTTATAGATTCCTACAAAGTAATTTGTGATGTGCAATGCCCTAGTTCAGAGGTAAATCCTAGCAAATGCAAGTGTTTCACATAATGCACGTTTGCAGGAACCAGCAATCCGCAGGTGCTTTTATGCTGAGTCCCACAAGAATGTAATTGTAATTTATTTGCACAAGAACAGGTGCATTCACGGAGGCGTGCTAGGCTAAAAAGAAAGGTGAAAACCCTTACGCGTGTGCGCCTGCGACCCTGTTCACCCTTAAAGGGGGACCTGCAGTAATATCCTTCCACCTGATGGAAAGTCCTCCTCGCTCTCTTTTTTGCCCTTTCCCTCTTGTCTAGCTGCAGGGCGAGGTGGGGGGAAGGTCCCCTTTTGTACCGGCTTCTTCTAAAAGGTAAGCCTAGAAAAGCCCATAATCAGCAGCAGGCTCTTTAACCCCTCGTAAAGCCTAGCCCTCCGGGTGAATGTTTTACGGAGCAGTTCCCTGGCAGTCACCCACCCACTTGAGGTGTCGAAGTTGTTTGGCTGCAGCCTGTGGCAAAGTAAATGCCTACTGGAGAGCTATGATGCATTCCCACGCTCATTGAACATACTTTTCATACTTATTCTCGGCTTCCCAAATAAAGAGTGCAGAACGCATACCGTAGAATACCGCGCTTCCGCCCATTCCACATTAAGCGCCCATACCCAAATTTGTAAGATGTGAGAAAATATGCACAGTACATTTATGTGTGGAATTGATGACCGGATAAGTGCCCATCCCCCATTTTTTCATGATTGCCTTGAAATATTGAGTGGGCCTAGCTGAAAATCCCGATTAGATCCAATTGGAATTCTAACTGGTTTTAATTGGAACCAATTAGTTTTAGTGGGTTCCAATTGGAAGCACACTGGCCAATGGGTCTCACCAATTGGAAAAAGTTTTCCAGTTGGAATTTTAATGGGTTCCAATTGGTTCCCATTGCAGTGACCAGTTGGTTGTCCCAAAACCTAGCTGGTACCAATTGGAAATTCCAATTGGAATCTAATGGGAATTTTCAACTGAGGACGCTTGCCCGGTATTTTACGGTATGTGAGATGTGGTGTTTTCAATATTTGAGCATGATTTACATGTTCACAAAATGTTCAGCATCCCCAGAAAGCCAGTCTATCACGGTCAAACCTGCCTCAAATTTGGGAATGATGAAAAAGATAAATGTGTACCAGGCGCAGAAATCTTAGCAAATCTCTGTTTTCGTATAGCTCACACAAATTATAGTGTGCCTAATTTGCAGGATATGATGGCCAACGAAATGTGGATGAAATTTATATTTACAGATCCCAACAACCACATGAGTTGAAAGGGCAGCAAGGGTGAGTGTCGATATTAGGAAGTTTTAGTAAATCATATTTAACTCTCCGATAACCACACTTCACTACAATATATAAGCTAGCCTTGTTGTGAGCATTCTTTATCGAGCACGGCTACCGGAGCAGAAAACGCAATATTAATCCCCTATTGGGGAGTTTAGCGTGTTGCGTTATCGTTCAACGTTGCTTGCACTGGTGCTATAGCACAAGCTGCCACTTCAAATAATTCTTTGGAGTTTTCAAAAATCGAGAGCAAAAGCAGCTCATTTTTTGTAACGTGACACAGGATTGTAATTTAACATTTTACAAATATAGGTACACTGCACCACGAAGTTAGCGTGAACAAACTATTGGCAATTTTTTTTTCTTCTTTTTTCTTGTTAAAAATGAATGATATTAAGGAAACTGTCAATGCGAGTACACGACCTAAGCGGTAGACCTTACAACTAAACAATCATAGCTGAAAAAAAAAAAGAGCGCCGATGATGTGTTTGCGCTAACAAAGTGGCGTAATGTACACATATCACTACACAATCAGTGCAAACAGAGTAAGCCAGTAAATTTAATAAACCAATAAAGGTTTTTGGTGTTTTATTTATAGCTGAAATTTTGACATTTCAATACAAGCAATTTGGCAAAGAGTGCTGCTATTGGGCACCAACTTACATGGCATCAATTTGTTCCCATACACTAACATCTGCATGACCCTTGCATTAAAATGTCAATTTTGTGTTTGCGCTTTGTCACGCAGAGTAAGAGACAGGTCCATTTCTCGAACATTTTAACAAAACCTCCATAACGCCAGATAGACATTTTGCGAGTACGCTCTATCACTGCTGGTTTAGAGTATTATCTACGTCAAGCGATCTGATACTCTTTGCCAAACTGCTTGTATAAAAATAACTTTCCAGCTATAAAAAAAAAAAAATATATTCTTTTTAGAATAACCTTATTGATATACTCTCATCATGTAGACGTATGCACACATTACGCAACACTGTCAGCGTGAACACCACATCGGCGCTTTTTGCTATTTTTTCCCAGCAATGTATTATCTAGCACAATGAGCCCAGCACATTGAGCTTCAACACAAAAGAGGAAATATATGGTTGTGCTACTCGAAAAAATGTGTGGACAGGAAGGTATACACGACGTTTCGGGCGGACACCCTTCTTGAAGAAGGGTGTCTGCCCGAAACGTCGTGTATACCTTCCTGTCCACACATTTTTTTGAGTAGCACAACCATACATTTGCGATTTCGTGTTCTCGCATATAACAGTGTTCTAAACATTATTAACTTCTAAGGAGAAAACAAAAACGGGAAAAACCGGTGCTATACTTCGTTTCAGCTTCCGTCCGAGCGCAGCCAAAGGCTGAGGGACGGCTCGCAACTTCGAGAAGGGCAGTCCTACGCACCACAAAGTAGTCCGCAAAAGTATTTTTATTTTAAATAACTGTTTTGTGCGTAAACATTGCACAATATTATAGATATGTACTGCTGAGAAAGATTTACAACTAAAGGAATTAAATATATGAAGTTTATGGTTTTATTAATATATGTGAATGCATGTGGTTTGGTGAAAACACGTACATCCGCTGGCAACACGGCTGTAGCGCTCAGTTTTTCTGTGTGATTCCGTTCCCGTAATGATTGAATCATGTGCTTGCTGCTTTCCTCTTCGAATCGGTTCAAAACGTCCTTTCGTAAAGGCACGTTTGCCTTTACGAAAGGCGTCAGGCACGAGAGGTCGTGATGAATGTCTGCTTTGAAATTCGGCAGGAGACTCCGGCCGCGTCGTACCGCGAATGCGTTGTAAACAAGAAAAGCGTCCGGGCCACTCCAATTCACTGATACGCGGTGAACTCAGGGCACCCCTTTACCTGCCGATCACATTGAACGCCGAGAAGCTGGTGAAAAGGACTGCGCCTCGAGCCCTGGTATATTTAGTCAACACAAGGAAACACCAACGGCCGGGTCATCGGGCACCTTGCAACGTGTACTTACATAACGAAACTATGCCGAACAGGTGGAAAGCTCGGGCGCAAATGGCAGCGGCCAGCCTACTTACTGAAATCCCCCGTGACTAAATTTCAGAACGCGAAAGGGCATTTTTTAAACCTGTAGCAGACGATACCGTTGATACACCCGTAGCAGACGAAACACTCGGCAAGCGCGGGCGGCGCGGACGACCAGCGGCGCAGCGGAGTGATACAAAGGTGCAGGCGAGATCGCGTGGCCTATTGCCGGCGTCTGATTGGCTCCGGCCACACGTAGCTTTGGCTGCGCTCGGACGGAAGCTGAAACGAAGTATAGTTTGTTCGTGCTAGGTGCGTGGCAGAGTATACCTATAACGCTTTAACAATGTCAAACTACAGCCCCGTGACATGTTAAAAAAGGGCTGTTTTGCTTTAGTTTCTTGAAGGTTCGCAAGAATACTTTGAAGGGCAGAATCGACTCCTTGCTAAGAGGTATTTTGAAAAGTGTTTCGTTTGACAGGCCAGATGTCTCAAGCGCGTTTATATTTCAAGAGCTCTGTTTGCCATCCTTCGAGGGTCTTTTTAGGGAAACTGTTGTGCTCCGTCATTTCTGGAATTCTAGTTTTATTACAGCCTACATTGCGCAGCGACCTATGAGGCCATCGCTCCGCTTCCAAATGCCGCGCATCAGAACGAAGTATGGTGAGCGCACGAGAGTGTACTACGTTTCGCAAATATTTAACAGCCTACCGGAATCCTTTCTATCCATAACTTCGAGGCAAAAGCTCAGGAAGGCGTTACGGAATTTAGAGCTGTGAGGTTAAGCTTTGTTGTTGTTGTTGTTTTTTGTTTTTTTATGGTTATCAAAGTTTTTTTTTTTTTGTTTTCTAGCCCTACAAGTGTACCTTGTGATTCCGAGAACGTGTAAATTTTGAAAGTCAGAAAACTTTTTCAACTTTTTTTTAGAACGTACCTTACTACAATGTGTCTTTCTTTTGTATCGCCACCTGCCGAGCCAGGTCCACAAGCCCTTGAGGCTTTCACCGGCTCGCTATTGTACTTTCAAAAATGTATTTTTTTCAAATAAAACTATGTTCTATGTTCTACACTATTGGCGACAAGTGCGATCGAAAGCGTCGCTGTGGTAGGCCTGCCACGATTGGCCGAATGCTGACAATGACATCAGCAAAAAATTTCTCATCGACGGAAATAAGAGGAATCTAAGAACTTCAATTTTGATGGTGTTGGCAGTGCTGCTTTGACAGTGCAGTGATTTCAAGCTTCCACCATGCTAATTACAGACACCATCAAACATGTTCGCATGGTAATGACGTCACAAGAGGTAACTATAGGGGGGCGCTAACAAGACATCTCGCCGCCAATTGTACCGAAACAAGCAAGGTTGAAAGAAAACACAACATGCTAAACTCCCCAATGAGGGTTTTAATGGGAGTCTTCGTAGACTGTTTTTCCACCTTCGCTACGCTCTCTGGTGCTGCATGGGGAGGACAAGAGGGAAAGGGCAAAAGAGAGGGAGAGGAGGAATTTCTGCCAGGTGGAAAAATATTTTTGCAGGTCCCTCTTTAAGCTGAGACTATAAGCTCCGCTTTCAGTGCGAGCTCGCTGGTTTCTGCAGTGCTTTGGTTGCACGTG